GCTATCCAAATTTATGAAGTTTGGCAAGCACCTTATCTCTACCGTTATCTAATAAAAAGATCACTACTGCTTGACTTCTCCAAGACCCTTTTTCTCCATGCCTTTTTATGAGACAGGGTCTCATCACTGTGTAGTCCTGACTGGCCTGGAGCTGTGCAGACCATGCTGACCCCAAACTCAAAAGATTTGCCGATTTCTGGAGGGCAGGGATTAAAGGCATGCACCACAGCAAGCTTTCCCCCTCCTCTCTCAATGAGGAGCTGGAGTTTATTAAAAGACTAACACCAGGGCTCAGGAAGCAGAGGCAGGAAGGCAAAGGCAGGTAGATTTCTGTAACTGAGGCTAAGCCTGGTCTACATAGCAAGTTCCAGGACCGCTAGAGCAACAGGGAGACCCTGTGTCAAAAGGAGAAAAAAGGGAGTGATGGCCCAGTGGTTAAGAGCACTGGCTGCTCTTGCAGAGGACCTGGGTTCGATTCCCAGCACCCACATGGCAGCTCGCTACTGTCAGTAACTCCAGTTCCTGGGGATCTGACCCCCTTTCTGACCTCCACAGGCACTGCACAACCCGGGTACACTCACATGCAGGCAATACACTGACTCATACACATAAAATTTAAAAAGAAGGGGCTGGAGAGATGGCTCAGTGGTTAAAAGCACTGACTGCTCTTGCAGAGGACACAGATTCAATTCCCAGCACCCACATGGTGGCTATGAACCGTCCTTAACTCCAGTTCCAAGGGAATCCAAAGCCCACTTCTGTCCTCTGCGCCATTGCACGACATGGGTGCACTCACATACATGTAGGCAATACACTCCTACACATAAAAAAAAATTTTTTTTGTAATTGTTGTTTTTGAGACAGGGTCTCCCTGTAGCCCCAGCTGTCCTGGAACTCACTATGTAGACCAGGCTGGCCTTGAACTCACAGAGATCCACCTGCCTCTGCCTCCAGAGTGCTGGGATTAAAGGCGTGCGCCACGACGCCTGGCTAATAATAATAAAATATTTTTTTTTATTTTTTTATTTTTAAGTAATAAAAATAAAATATATGAAGAAAAATCACCCAGGCTCATCTTTCCACTTCTGTACCATCTTTTTTTAAATTTTATTATTCTGTGTATGATACAGAGGCACACACGTGGCAACAGTGCAGGTGTGGGTCAGTTCCTCCTCCTCCGGCCTTCAGTGAGAACCAGGGAGGAAGGCAGGTCCTTGGGCTCTCAGAGAACGCTTCCCCAGCTCTGCACTATCCTTTCTATCGCATTCTTTTCACCAACTCGCTTTTCTTTGAATTAACCTCAGGGTTTCTGTCCTGCTTTATAAAGCAGGCTCACTAATCAGGCCAAGCTTTGTTTTCAGTCCCGAGGTGAAGTTCTCTTCAATTTTAGCCATCAGAAAGAGCTACGCTTCTGTTCAATCTGCCACTGTGATCCCATCCCACTCAGAAGCTACCCTTCACCACCATCTGGTGTCCTGGATGAAGTCAGAGCCTTAACAGTATCACTTTTAATGAGGGACAAGTAACTTCTTTTTAATATTTTATTTTATGTATATGCATGTATTGCCTGCATGTAGGTAAGTGCACCCGTGTCATGAAATGCCAGCGGAGGACAGAAGAGGCTGTCAGATCTCTGGAACTGGAGTTAGCTGCCATGTGGGTGCTGGGATTCAAACCCGGGTCTTCTGCAAGAACATCAGTGTTCTTAACCGCTGAGCCATCTCTCCAGCCCCAGGAAAAATAGCTTTTTAAGTGCCACACTAACATGTCAAGGAGAAGCTGCATGCTGCGCACACCTCCACCCCAGCAGGAGCAGCTTCAGAAAGGTGGAAGCAGGACCTCAAGGCCATCCTCAGCTACACCGAGAGATCCAGGCCAGCCTGTACTGAGACTGTATCCACGACAAGAAAAAAAATCAAATAAAAAAGCTGGTTATATCTACTTATTCCTTGGCATCTCTAACACTAACCAACAAAGAAGTACTGTCATAGCACAGGTAACCAAGTCCCTCTTTTTTTTTTTTTAACTATTTTTATTCTATGTGTATAAGTGTATAGCATGCAGGTATATAAGTGGACCTTTGACCTGTAATGCCCACAGAGGTCAGAAGCTGTTGGATTCTCCTAGAACTGAAGTTGCAGACAGTTGCTAGCTGCCATGTGGGTACTGGGAACCAAGCCCAGGTCCTCTGCAAGAGCAGCCAATGCTTTAACCATTGAGCCATCTGTTCAGACCCAAGTGCCCTCTTTAAAACTAAAATGGATGTGTTAGACATCCCACCCCCTAACCTGGGGTTTGAGTTTGCTCATCTGAACTGTAGTTATAGTACAGTAGTTATAGTTACAAGGTTGCTTGAGACTGACTACACACAAGGAAATGGCTACCACGCACATTTACAGGACTGTGGAAGAGGTGAAGCGACTCAATGCCAAGAACCACAGGACACATTTATCTAAATTCAGAATTCAAACTTCACAACATAAAATATTCCCCACCCAATATACCAGTTGTCTGTCCTGAACCCAAAACAACTCACATCTAAAGGTGGTATCTGTAAGATATTACACTTTAGGGGCTGGAGAGATTGTTCAGCAGTTAAGAGCACTGACTGCTCTTGCAGAGGACCAAGGTTCCATTCCCAGAACCCACATGGTAGCTGTTAAAACAATCATCCATTACTCCAGTTCCACAGAATCCAGACACCCTCTTCTGACCTCTGTGGGCACTGCACAAGAGTGCCCCTAAATACATGCAGAAAATACACTCATACACATATAATAAGAACGAAATATTTTGGGGCTGGAGAGATGGCTCAGCGGTTAAGAACACTGGCTATTCTTGCAGAAGTCCAAGGTTCGAATCCCAGCTCCCAGCACCCACATGGCAGCTAACAACTGTCCAAAACGCCAGTTCCAAGAGATTCAACGGTCTCTTCTGTCCTCCCATGGGCATTGCATGACACACGGATGCACTTACCTACATGCAGAAATACACTCATACACATAAAATAAAAATATTTCAAAAATAAAACTTTTTAAAAAGAATTGACATTTTAAAACACTAACTTAAAGAAGTGTTCAACAGTCTTCCAGCTCTCAGCACTCTAAATCCCCAACTTTCTCATCTACTGTAGTACAAAACAAACTTCAAAACTTCTCAGGACTCTATTTGCCAAACAAGCCTGACAGCCTGCGTCTGAACTCTGGAACCCACAGGGAAAGACCTGACTCCAAAGATGGCCAGACCTCCACACATGCTGAAGCACTCATACACAGTAATAAAATTTTTTAAAATTTAAAAGCCAGCCAGGTGTAGTGGTGCACCTCTTTAATCCCAGCACTCGAGAAGCCGAGGCAGGTTGATCTCTGTGAAATGGAGGCCAGCCTGGTCTATATAGAGTTCCAGACCAGCTGGGGCAACAGAGAGCCTGTCTCAAAAACAAAACAAAACAAACAAACAAAAAAAACAGCAACAACAAATTAATTAAAAGTCACTTCTCCCCACCCGGTGCCTAAAGCACTGATCATAGAAACCAGAGCTTCAACCACACTGCACAACTCTCCGGGAGGAAGAGCAGTCGGAGAAAACTTCCCCCAAAGAGGGAGCCAGGCCAGGGACGTGGACACAATTCCTTTCAGAGCCGGTAAACCAGGGCTGAGACTGACCTCTAAGACCAACAACAGCCCAAGCGCAAAGTAGGTTAGAGTTTGTTTAGGGCCGCAACTCCCTGTGACCACAGAGACTTTTTTTTTTTTTTTTTTCGGTCTTTTTCAGACAGAGTCTCCCTGTATCCCCAGCTGGCCTGTAACTCACCATGCAGACCAGGCTGGCCTTGAACTCACAGAGAGCACCTGCCTCTCGAGTGCTGAGATTAAAGGCGTGGGCCACCACCACACCCAGTCTCGACTATCTTTTCTACTCAATTGCCTTGAATTAAGGTAGCCATCACGGCCAGGCCTAGTAGTGCACACCTTTAATCCCAGCACTAGGAAAGCAGAGGCAGGTGATTGTGAGCTCCAGACCAGCCGGTGTCTGTCTCTCTGTGCCCCCTCACACAGCCGCGCGCACGCGGCAGCAATCGTTTCCCCGGCAAACAGAAGGCCCTGAGTTCAATATCCTACAATTCGGGAGGGAAGGGTAAGCTAACCACAAACCTCTAGTTCAAATAAAAACGCGCTACACAGAGGCTGCGGCTGGGCTGCCCGGGGCGTGCGGGCTCCAAGGTGGAGGGAGTCCTGCAGCTCACACACAATTCGGTACTGGAATTTCTTCCAGTTCTGACAAGCAACCTAGGCTCTAAAATAAAAGTCATCTCCAAAGGCCTTTTCAACACAAGACACTTGCCTGCAGCTTACACTTCCCGCGTCTACTCGACCCGACCTGAACGTACACTCTAGTTACGTAAACTTTAGTTATATAAACCACTCCAAGACACCCTGCAAGGGGGTTTGGAGCAAGACACCCTGCAAGGGGGTTTGGAGCAAGCCGAGCCAGGAAGCCCACCAGCACCCGAAAGGTCCCGGAAGGAGGTAGACCCTCCTCCTCACTCCCACCGGGCGGCTCGGGCACCAGGTCGCCTCCCATGCCGGTGCTGCTCTTCGCACCGCCCGGGCCTTGCTTTTGCAGACTGCACTCCGAGGACCCGGGACGGGGGACACTTGCCAGGCAGACCTATAACCGCGGGGACAACCGCGCGTCCTCTACCTAATCGCCGCCGCCCCGGGGGGGCGAGAACTACGGACCCCGGCTCAGCCCAAGCTAGCCCAACCTCGAGCCAGCACGGCGGAGCAGCCGCGAACTGCGGCTCTGGCCTCGAACGCGCGGGCGGCTCGCAGTCCGGACGGGTCCTGACCAGGCCCCGCAGGCCCCGGCGCCCACACAGCCCAGGCCCGGCCGCAGGCCCCGACCCCGGCCTCCCTCCCCTAGCGTCCCCTCGGCTACCGGGTGACCCAACCGAGCCCCGGCCCCTCCGCCGCCGCCCTCAGCCCGCGGGGCCTCACCGAGGACGCGGCGACCGGAGAGAGAAGGGAGGTGGCCGGTCTCCTCGCGGCTCCGGCACGGCTCTGGCGGTGGCGGTGGTTCCTCGCGCTTTCCTTTCTCTCCTTTTCTCCAACAACAAACAGGAAGTCCGTCACGCGGCCGCGGCGCGACGACGTCGACTTCCGCCCGGCCTTGACGCCACGCATGCGCAGTGATGACCGCCGATGCGTCACAGGTGGGTTGGATCGGGCCCCGCCCCTCGTTCAGGAAGGTTCTGCGCGCGTTGCTGGGGACGCGCAGCCCGGGGCCGTTAGGGGCCGGTAGTCCGGACCGTGGGGGGGGATCCTGCATGCGTCCTGTGGCCCCGAGCAGGGTGGAGGATGCGCGCGGGGTTCGGCCCGGCCTGCCCCCGCTGTCCAGCCTACTCCCTACCCGGCACCACGTGGGGGCTCCTGGGCCCTGGGCCGCAAGCCCGGAGTGCGAAAGCGGCGGCCTGCTTTCCAAGGCTTTCACGCCACGCGGAATTATTCTTCCCAGTGCTAGATGGAGCCGCGGGCTCGCGCCTGCTAGGCAAGCCCTCGACCACTGAACCACATTCCCCAGCCCCTTTTTACTTTGAGACTGTTACGACCTTGACTTTGGTGTCCTCCCAAAGGAGGCCCTGTCTCCCGAGTGACTGGGCCCAGCTCAGGCTGAGTTCTCCAGCCGGTGTTACGATTGGCTAGAAGGCATTTTGCACGTCCCTTCCACTTAATGCTAAGTTCGGGAAATGCACCGAAACTGGCATGGAGAAACAAACAAGTTGGTGACTACAGACACACCCTCCAAAAGTAATCCTAGTGACCACGAACCAAAGTCAACGCCACACTCAGACACGTGTTGACCTCCGCGGGCCCAGTACTTCAACCATCCCATAAATTGCCTCTAGCTCTGCCCCTTTCCCCTGTGGAGTATCTAAAGCTTCCAGAGCTAACTGGAATTCTAACTATTAACGTTGATGTAATACCCTTGTGCATGTAATAAATTGTATGTGCCTTTTCTCTGTTAAGGTGCCTACTGTCAGTTTCATTGATTGAATGAAATTGTCAATTTCATGACAACTGGCCGTTTTTTAAGACGTAAGCTTTTGAATTGGATCCAACAGACCAGATAATTTTAATCAAAATGGAGTCACTGGGACCAAAAGTCAAAGTAACCGGTAATCTGCCCAGAAAAGAAAGGCTTCAGCTGGGCAATTTCAATTGCCATGGTAATAAAGTTCTCTGGACCTTAATTCTTATGCTTAAAGTAACCCAAAGTAACCTTATGTTGCCTTTCTGATTGTTGGATCTCCGCCTGACTTACAAGAAAAGTGAGTTTGAAAGGTCCAAAACTGCTCCTTTGTTTCTACCTTTCCCACAAACAGCCTGATCTAGAATTGCAAATAAGATTAAGATTGAATTTGGTGTGGTGGCAGGCCCAGAGCTCCTGGCAGTCTGAGTTTTGAGCATGAGACCCATCCCCTCTAAAAAGCAAATAAAACAAGATTGTTAAACTATGCTGGGCTTGGGAGGCTAGGAGGCTGAGGGGATGGGAGGCTGGGAGGACGGGAGGCTTGGGAAAACTTCCAGGGCCGGCTGCTCTACCAAGATTTCCAAGCCAGCCTCCATTATAGAGTTCAGATCCGGTCCCCCACTGACCAAAAGAATAAAGGAAAAAAAAAAAAAAAAAAAAAAAAGGTTTAACTATTGTGATGCGGTAAGTCACACCTGTAATTTAGCATTTATAAGGCTGAAGCACCTGGCCTACCTCATTAAAACCTAAAAAAATGTTTGTCCTTTGACAGTTCTGAAGCCCCGGAGGGTAAAGGAAACTGCTGCTCTTAATCACTACTGCTGTTCCAGATAACTGGAACTGTCAGCTAGTACTTTAGTTTTCCCACTGCAACAGATAACTGGCTGGGGATCCAGCTCAGTAATCTTGGAACTGTGATCTGAGGCTGAAGCTTTAATGGGGGAGAAAATATTCTAAGAGAAACCCTTGTGCCTGTCCCTTCAGCTATCAAACTGGAAGCAGTGTGGACTCCAAGAAATTAAAATTACCTCAGGAATCTATGCTGGGGGTAGACAGGGAAAGATAGAACCCTTAGAAGTGCCCTCTAGGGAGTACCCTCCTGGAGGGAGATACTGTCCCACAGTTAAACTCCCACACGCACATTTCCTGGTTTCTGTTTCATCTCACTACTGTAACAGTGTCACAGGAAAAGGGACGGGTCGGGTCTCAAGTTTTACAAAGTTGCAAATTCATCATTTGAGCCAGGTGTGGGGCCACATGCCTGCAATTCTAGAATTTGGGATGTGGAAGCCAGAGGATCAGGAGTTCAATGTCATCCTCAGTTACATAGCAAAGTTCAAACCAGCCTAGGCTTCATGAGAAAAAAAAAAAAAAGACAAATGCATTATCCTTTCAGATTTCAGTTCCTAATTTCATTTCAAATACAGGAAAACTAGACTGAGGCTAGTCTCAAACTCACAGTCCTCTTGTGTTAACTTCCCAAAACATACACTATGTGTGTGTGTGTTACTGTGAAATGAATGAGGGTCTTGCTCAAGGTTAGCAAGTGCTGTGCCATAGAGCATTTGGGAGGTGGGGGTAGGAGGGCCAGGTGTTCAAGGTTATCCTCTGCTACTTAGCAAATGGGAGGCAAGATCGGGTTACAGGAAACCCTATCTGAATTTTTAGATATTTTATTTATTATTATTTTATGTGGATGAGTACATACACTTATGCCTGCATAAGTGTAAGTGCACCGGTGTTGTGCAGTGCCCTAGAAGGTAGGAAGAGGATGTCAGAACCCCTGGAACTGGAGTTACACTCAGTTGTTAGCCACCATATGAGTGCTGGGAATCAAACCCAGATCCTCTGCAAGCGCGGTCAGTACCCTTAACTGCTGAGCCATCTCTCCAGCCCCCCCCTTTTGTTTGAGATGTCTCACAGTGTAGCCCTCTACCTCTTCAGCACATCCTACCAACATGTACCACCACAACTGGCTGTTTTTGTTTTTGCTTTTGCTTTTTTGGTCTTTTTGAGACAGTCTCCCTGTAGCCCCAGCTGGCCTGGAACTCTCTTTGTAGATCAGACTGGCCTTGAACTCACAGAGATCTGCCTGCCTCTGCTGCCTGAGTGCTGGAATCAAAGATATGTGCCCAGCTAAATAAATACATTTTTAAAACAACCCCCCAAAAAAGAAGAAATGGCACAATTTATTTGGCATCTCATGATAAAACCTAAGATAATCTCATTAAAGACTGAGATTTTGTTCAGCAATATGCCAGTTAGGCCCTTACAAGTAACTGTCTGCCAGCAGGTTCATGGAGTTTATTTCCATCTGAGTGTTGACAGTATTATCATATGATATTTCAAATTCAAATAGTCCCTGTAGCCACTGTGAGCTAATCATGAAGTGGAGACACATGAATTTTAAATAGTATGTGGCAGGGTAGCCACAAATAGCTTCTCCTCCCCCATCCAAAAAATAGTAGTACACATAGAAATGTTTATATACATAGAAACAGGTCACTGCGGGGAGACACACTGGCCAGTGCAAAGTCAGTCCCACCCGAGAACCCGCAGACCATCAAGGAGAGGAGATGTGAAGACGGCAACACTAAATAAATGTAGCACTCCTACAACCACAGAGCTCCTGATATGAGATTAAGGATTTCCAGCAAGACTCACATCACCCAAACAGTGGAATGCTTAGAAACCTGGGTTGGAGGAAGATTATCCCAATATCAACCAGAGGAGACTCAAAAGAAAAGTGTTTGGAAAGGAGTTAGGAGGCAAAATGCAAAAGCACAAATAGGATTTGGGCCAGGAAGTACTTTGTCTTGGCACCATGGGAGGGACACAGACTAAGCAGACAGTGGAGATGGAAGGGCTCATCTTGCAGGTCATGGAAGCCCTGGACTGTTCACCAGAAGCCAAGCCAAACAGCGGCCAAGTTGCCAGTTTCTGGGAGGTTGGGAGTGGGGATCCCAACTGCTCCCTCTGGTTCCCTTTCCTCTTCTCTAAAACCAGAAAATGGGCTTGGGATGAAAGTCATTTGTGTATTTGGCTCAGTGCTAAGCACCTGTCATGCCCAGGAAGTAATAGTCCTTCACTATCCCTAACCTTAGACAAAGTCGTGAGAAGCGTGGATGGATGTCCCCCCCAAAATATGTAAGTGACGTGAACAGATTTGTAGCTACATGCATGTGCCCCCTTATGCTCCAAGCCTTCCATGAGGCCACAGTCCCAAAGGATAGTTTGGTAATTTCACTAAACTGTAAAGTTTACTTTTTTTTGCCTTCTTGTTTGTGGTTTTTTTTTTGTTGGTGGTGGTGGTGGTTGGTTTCTTGGTCTTTTTTTTGATACAGGGTCTCCATGTAGCCCTAGCTGTCCTGGAACTCGCTTTGTAGACCAAGTTGGTCTTGAACTCATAGAGATCAGCCTGCCTCTGCCTCCTGAGTGCTGGGATTAAAGGCGTGCACCACCACCATGCAAAACTTATCTTTGATTCAGTAATAACACAGAAATTTTCCCCTAAGGGGTTGCAGTAGTTTGAAAGGGAGATATTCCCCAGAGGCTCAAGAATTTGAATGTCTGGTCCGAAGCTTTAGATGAGGCCTTGCTGGAAGCACATCACTGGGGTGGGCTTTGAGAGGCCGTAGACTTTCACCTCTTCAGCCTGCTCTCTGCCTCCTCTGGTGAGGAAGAGGAGAGCGCCCAGCTTTCTGCTTCCTTGGTCTCTGCACAATGCAACCGTGCTGGACACTTATCTCCCTGGAACTGTAAGCCCAGATAACCTCTTCTTTCTAAAAACTGCCTTGGTCATGGTGTTTTAGAATAGCAACAGAAAAGCAACTGAAACAGGTGTTAAGTGCAATTCCTGTAGAGACCAGAAAAGAGCATTCATTGGATCCTTTGGAACTGGAGTTAAGGATGTTAAGGAGTTAAAGATGGATGTGGGTGCCGGGAATTGAACTTAGGTCCTCTGCAAGAGCAGCCAGTGCTCTGAACCACTGAGCCATCTCTTCAGCAACTGCTCACCCCCACACACACCTTTTTATTTGACACATACTCTCCCTGTAGTCTGCTATGTAGACCATGCTGACCTTAATGTAGAAATCTGCCTCTACCTCCTGAGTGC